ATATAATTTATTTCCAGTATCCTTGTTTAAATAATTACAAAAACTGTCTGTGAAGATTCTCAGTCATCCAGGTGAGGTTATCTGGAAGCTGAGCCATGGCAACTGGACTTCTTTCTTACTAGATTGAAACATTTTGCTACTCATCCAGGTTGCTTCTTCAGTCTGAGGAGAGTTAGTAGGAGACCCCAATATATCCTCCAGGTTGGCTTTGCTCCCCCCCCCCGGTCTAAATAGGCTCATTAGATGGACAAAACACTGGGGGTGAGTGAGTTGTCAATCTAACAAGCCCATGTCAGCCTATAAAAACTATGTTATACTGGTTGTCTTCCAGTCCTCGGATATGAAGTCTGGATTTATTAATAAATGTAAGAGTTCAGCATAGCATTATATAAGAGCTCTTACTTGGGTGAGTGCCATCAAAGCCTGATGACTTTACTACCTTATTTGTCAGGTAGTGTAGTGTAACATTTACTTGACAGTTCTTCACTGGCTGCCAGACAACATCAGTTGAGATGTGATGATCTCATTAGCATCTTCAGAGGCAAATATTTAATGTTGCATCTGTGTAATTTTCTTAGTATTGTTTCGCATTCGTCCTATGCTCCTCCATAGGCAATTATTTGATTCATCTGGGAGCAAAAGAAAGAAATGGATTGCACTTAGATTCCTAAAATAAAAATGCTGTCACATTCCCTAAATCAAATATTTCAGCTGTCCAATACTTCTACTCCATCTGCCATTCAAGGAAACATTTACTGTATTGTTGTTGTTATGTACTGCCAAGTTACCTTTGGCTTATGGTGACTTTGTGAATAAGTCACCTTCAAAATGTCCTATTAACAACCTTTCTCAGCAACAGCAAAAAGCCATGGCTTCCATTATAGTCAATCCATCTGATATTCGGTCATCCTCTTTCCTGCTGCCATTTATGGGATACATTAAAAATAATACACTCCACCCTGTACAGCATTTCACTTGTTCTACTTTCATTTTTGTGTTTGTATATTCATCTCAGGTTTCCTGATTTGCTTTATTACAAAACTAGCTGAAAACAAGAGTAAAGTCTCCTAACAGCTGTCCTGCTATACCAAATGCTCATTGAGCTGAAGGAATAGGCAATGAGTGACTGAAATCATGTGGGAAACTCCACTGCTGAATATGCTAGCAATGGGTAGGAAAGCTCCTACGTAACTCCCCCAGGCTTTTCAAAATGCCACACAGTGTAATTAGAGAGGGCCCACCTGGGTTGGGAATAGCGGCGTTCATTTAAGAAGAGGTGGCATCAGCCTGAAAGCTGTGATTACTTTAATACCATTGCTGATTACATAAGGGATATCATGCAGCAGGGTGTGGCGTACTGGGAAAGAACCACATGTACAGTACTAGAAAAGCAAGCAGCCACAAGCACTGCCAGACAGGCTGCTATCTCCCAGCCACTTTTTGCTGATCTTACTCACATTCTAAATCACATAGCCGGTTTTGTGAGGAAGGGAGAGGATGGTTTAAATATATTGTTTTGTCCTGCTCTTCTAGGACACAGGCTGGAAACTTGTTAGTTTGCCAGATGGCTTCTGACCAAAAGCTATTTTGCAACTTTTGTGGTGACACGTTCTGAGAAATTATTCCTTTTGGTTTGATGGTACAGAGCAAGTATGCCATCAGAGGACAGGCCAATCCTGAAAGAATATAGTTAAAGCAGTTACCTTCTGGGAAACACTTCCAGTTGCTAAATGACTACCATAACTGCATTCCATTTGGCTAAACCCTATAGCTGCATTGTTAGGGCTGAGCACTGCAATAGAGTATCTGTAATAAAATATATAGCTTGGAGGTTGCTGCTTCGGAGCTCAGTTCCATGTCCTGATGATATCTCCAGCTAAGACCACAGCACAACACATACAGTATCACAGAAGTGAGTACACCCCCTCACATTTCATAAATATTTTAGTACTGTAGATCTTTTCATGTGACAACACGAAAGAAATGACACTTGGCTACAATGTAAAGCAGTGAGTATACAGCTTGTATAACAGTGAAATGTGCTATCCCCTCAAAATTACGCAACACACAGCCATTAATGTCTAAACTACTAGCAACAAAAGTGATTACACTCCTAAGTGACAATGTCCAAATTGGGCACAAGGGATAAATATTTTGTGTGGCCACCATTATTTTCCAGCCCTACCCTAACACTCTTGGGGATAGAGTTCACCAGAGCTTCACAGGTTGCCACTGGAGTCTTCTTCCACTCCTCCATGATGACATCACAGAGCTGGTGGATGGTAGAGACCTTGCGCACCTCCACCTTCTTTTTCAGGATGCCCCACAGATGCTCAATAGGGTTCAGGTCTACCCTCAGCTTTTTTAGCAAGGCAGCAGTTGTTTTGGAGGTGTGTTTGGGGTTGTTATCATGTTGGAATAATGCCCTGCAGCCCAGTCTCCGAAGGGAGGGGCTCATGCTCTGCTTCAGTATGTCACAGTACATGTTGGCATTCATGGTTCCCTCAATGAACTGTCCCTCCCCAGTACCAGCAACACTCATGCAGCCCCAGACCATGACACTCCCACCACCATACTTGACTGTAGGCATGACAAACTTGTCTTTGTACTCCTCACCTGGTTGCCACCACACACGCTTGACACCATCTGAACCAAATAAGTTTATCTTGGTCTCACCGGACCACAGGACATGGGTCCAGAAATCCATGTCCTTAGTCTGCTTGTCTGCAGCAAACCGTATGCAGGCTTTCTTGTGCCTCATCTTTAAAAGAGGCTTCCTTCTGGGACGACAGCCCTGGAGACCCATTTGATGCAGTGTGCAACACATGGTCTGAGCACTGACAGGCTGACCCCACCACACCCCTTCAACCTCTGCAGCAATGCTGGCAGCACTCATACATCTATTTCCCAAAGCCAACCTCTGGATATGACACTGAGCATGGGCACTCAACTTCTTTGGTCGACCATGGCGAGGCCTGTTCTGAGTGGAACCTGTCCTGTTAAAACCACTGTATGGTCTTGGCCACGGTGCTGCAGCTCAGTTTCAGGGTTTTGGCAATCTTCTTATAGCCTAGGCCATCTTTATGTAGAGCAACGTTTTTTTTCAGATCCTCAGATAGTTCATTACCATGAGATGCTATGTGGAACTCCCAGTGACCAGTCTGAGAGAGTGAGAGCAATAACACCAGCACCCCTTCACACC